AAATTCTTACGTGTTAATTTGCGAAGTAAAAGATAAACTTGTCTTATTTTGTTTATCAATTATTAATACTATTACTAAACTTATTTTAAGAACAGAGAATAATTATCAGGTAAGATTTAAAATCAAAAAAAGTTAATACTTATATTGTTTTGTGACCCTCGAATCACACCCGAACTAAAGTAACTCTTATCTATTACCCAACTCACCGTCTCTTTATATTATTTTGAGTTACGATATAATATTTAATATATTTAAAACATTTTCTTTTTTTTGTAAGTAAATTTTTAGAAATATCACAAGGTAGTTATATGTTTTTCTAGTTTTTATATAATAAAAATAAAAATCGAAAAACTATAACTTTGTGTTGAAAATTTATTTTTTGATGTAAAATAAAAATAATCCGTTTATGTTACGTTAAAATCGTATTAAATATTATTCAAAATGATTTTAACAACTTTTAATATAAGCTCACACAATGACGTGCCCAGTAAGTAGGACCAGGTCTGCCCTATTTTTAGAGCCTCTAACCCCTTTTCCAGTACTTTATGTCTTGTATAACAGACCTGTCCTAAATTTTTTCTCCTAATCTACTTTTATGTAATTTTTTAACATTATAATATACTGTTTTAAAATGTTATGCAAATTATACATACATTTTTAAAATATGAAATTGAATAATATGCTCTTTTAATAATAACGTTATACAAAAGGATTTAAAGAACAGTCTTTTATTATCCAACCCAACGAGTTTTACTTGATTTTATACGAGCTCGTTTTTATTTTGACGAATTCTCCATTTTTTTTGGAGAGTTCAAGTTTCTTTGTCGAATAAAATGATCTAACAAATCAGTTTATTATATACTTAAGCTGATATAAAACATATCTAGAATTTAAAAATATTTTACCAGAAGTCGGAATTTATATTTCAATTCATCAAAAATAAAAGCATTTAGTTTTCTAATATAATACAAAATCTTTAATACTCTTTTTAATAACTGGATCTAGGTTTATATTCTTATACATTTCTTTTTACCCATTGTGTCCCCATCAGTGGACTTTCTCAGAATCTCATTAAACTTTTAGTATAAAATGTAATTTGATGTACAACCACTCTTTAGGGATTTTTGTAAAATCCTAACTAAAGCAAAAGTATGTAATCATTTTTATCTTGTAAAATTTGAAAATAGTAGATTATTATAATATAAAAATAAAGGAATACTATCAAAATATGTTACAAGATACTTAATCTCTATTATGCTATTATATTGCTTCAAAGAGTCTATAAATAGCTAGAAGTTAACAAAATTGAAGTGAATTAATAAAAACTGAGACTAAAATGATACCAGAAAGTTCAAAAAAGTTTTATATGGACACTTTAAAGTGTTATGTGTTTACTAAGAGTTTTTTTTTATTAAGTTGTTTATTAATATGATGATTTTTAGATATTTTTACAATCTGTTATATTTACGCAATAAGTAAATTTGATAGTTTTCAAAGTTGAAAACATATCAGTAATTAAATTTGAGCGGTAGACTCATATTAAAGCCCTCGTAACAAATAAATTAAAAGATGTGTAAAGAAGTACTAAAAGTTCTGAATATATAAATATTGACCAGGGCAGACAGAAGGGCAAAGCTAACAATGCATTTTGCCTAGTCCTGCACTTTAAAAGACTTCATATGCATAAATATGTCTAAGTACTGATCCAGTATTGGTTATCAGTATACATACAAAAAAATCAAAATCCTGTAAGAAACTCATTTTTATAAGTTATTGATAATTTTTAATTTTTGGAAAAAGAAAAATTATTTGGTTCAAAAAATTACAATAGTATATGTTAAAACTATAAGGTTCTTAATTTAATGATAATATGCCTAAACATTAATTTTCTTAACAGGGAGCCTCCTCCATTTGAATCCAGTAATATTATAGAGTAAAAAATTACTACAATTTTGATTTTTAATCCGATAAAAAATTCATCTGTTCAACATGTTAAAGTTAAATAGTAGTATAAAACTAAATCATTGCTAAATTTTTAATCGAAATCCAAGTCTTTACACAATCTTAAAATTCATACGGTCAATTGGATATAAAATATTATAAAAACAAAATTGTTTGTTATTTCTATTTTTAAGATATTATCGAATTAAAAATAGAGATTCCCATTAAAATATTAAATTTAAATAGATTTTTATCCCTAAAGAGATAGAAAGAAATAATTTAACTACATATTATTGTAGTTTTTTACAAACCTCATATTATTTTCTTAACAAAATTTAAAATTGTCTAGTTTCTGAGAAAATGAATGTCTTACCAGATAATTATTTATGTGGCGATGCAATAATAAGTGTATAAAAACTTGTTATATCACGAGAGTTTGAGAAAAAAAACTACGTTATATCGAGGGAACCAATATCCAAGCCCGCATTTAGGGGGGGGCATTGGGGGCATTTGCCCCGGGCGGCAAATTTTGAAGGGCGGCAAAAATCTTAATAGGTATACAATTTTTAAAAATTAATTATTTTTATTTAATTTAAAATTTAAAATTGATGTCTAATGTAAACAAGGGAAATTGCTTTGAAGACTTTTTTTTTTTTGCTCAACTAAAAAACCCAACCCAACACTTTTTGGGGGGCGGCAAAATTAAGTGCACCGGGCGGCAAAATTCCTAAATGCAGCCCTGCCAATATCTATTTAAATTTTTGTTAAACCAAAGATAAATAAAAAAAAATTTATAACTACATTTTTGATAATTTTGGGGCCCGAGGAAATTTTCTTACTATACCCCATTAAATAAATTATTATACCTAGTAAATAAATATCGTACTAATTATAGTTTTCGGCGTAAAAATTCGCGTAAATAGAGTACTTATTATTAGAAAAAAATGTGAAAGAATATTATAAGATGGGTTCGGAACACGTACATGTTAATCGCGAAATTTTAAAGTGACTAATCGTTTTTTATTTATTATATCATGAATTTAATGTGTTAAGGGTCCATTTAATACACGAGGACCAAAACCAAAAATCAGAAGCCACTCGAAATATTGTCCCTACCTCCTTAAAAGAGTTTTAATTGTATGAAGGAGACACAGGCAATCTTGTACCTTAGTTATTAGAGAGAGATTATATAATAAAGTTTAACTATTGTTTTATGTCCTGAACCTGAATTCCTAGTTCAATTGGTTAATAGGTATATCCGAGTAAGACGGAATTGGTTGGCTATAATGATAATTGGCGATAGATGAGTTGTTGAATAAAACAAGTTAAGTTATTGATAATATGAATAAGGCAAAAGTGATAGCATCGAAAATTATATCAATAACGGTTACTCAATCACAAATGCCTTTTGTTAGTTTGAAGTGAGTAGCACCGGGTACAGTCGAGTAGAATTGTCACATCAGTATCTTCTTCTATGCTAATTGATATGTATTACGAACTAAGTAAATTGAAATAAAACGTGTATAATAAAAATTGCAATAACATAGTAATAAGTATTTTTATAACTGCATGGTGTAAAAATATTTATGATAAAATGTAGCAGTGTTAGTTTTCAACGACCAACTAGCTAAATTAACCTATTCTAATTAAAGGAATAAAAATAAAATATTTTAGTAAAACATAAGGTCTTAAATACTGATAATTTTAATTTGATGCGTCTTGATAAAATATTTTTTTGTTTTTATACATCAAATATTAACTTCAACTTCGACATCGTTAAGATTTTATTATCTTATATAAGATAATCAAATAGTACTGATAACAAACAATACAATATTCTATAAAATTTGATTTCAATTCTATTTAAAAATATCCATATTAAAATGATAAAAAAAATATATATTTGTAACATAAAGTATCTATAGAAGAGAATTTATATCAACTCACAATAATTTTAGAAAAAATATGTTTAGAATACATATATTGTATTAATGTTTAATGTTATTTTAAAATTAAATAAATATTTTAATAACAAAATTGAAAAACTCTATTTGAAATGTATACTTAATTAGAATATCAGGGGCGTACTTAAAATACTTAAATACTTAAAACCGTAATCATTTTATTTTTCAAAAATATTAATTTTAATAGACTGGTTTTTTATAAAAAATTTAAATTACAAGAATTTTAATGGTATACTATTAGAATTATTAGAAATCTAGTAATATATATTTTTTATCTTTAATAGAGCTATGCTTTATAGTATAGTAATACTACAAAAAAAATAGTAATTTAAAAATCTAAAAAATATGCATTTGTTTTAAAATTTCGTATTACATTAAAAAAAATATATTTTGATAATATATAATGTATTAGAAATTACTATAAAGTGTTATTATTATTTATATTGAAAAAATGGTATAAAAACATTTTTATTCTTTTTCTACGTTTTAAAAATTCTGTATTATATTTTATAGTAATCAAATAATGTTTTAAATAAAGATTATGGGCAATTTAGACAGAAAATTTATCACCACCAATAGAAAAATGCACTATATCCCCCTAAAAACTATATCTAAGATTGCCCCTGATAGAAGTGTCCACAAATATTTTTTAGAATTTTAATCAGAAAACACAATAGTGGTATCAAATTTTTTTTTTTGCTATTATAGTGTGTGTTGGGTAAATCTAAATTAATTTTTTATCCTGGGAAGATTACAATAAACCAAAAACTTCTGGCCCTTATATTTGCTGCTATCATATTAAATTAAGTTGAAAATAAAAACTAGGATGTTTATTAAAAATTATACATTTATAATTACCTCACATTACTCAATTAATATTAATTTTAATTTTAATATAATTTTTTAACTGATTTGTTAATTAGCCAAGTATAATTTCTTCTAAATTATTATTAATTATACACAACTATAATTGGTCGGGAATTCTGAATATAAATAAGGCGCTGAATATATTTGTACTATATAGAATTATTTAAAAATTAATTATACTGATGAGATATTATGAGATTATATAAAATTAAAATTAACAAAACTTACCTTATAAAATGCAGTTTGTATGAACACTTGACGCCCATAATCACATTGACTCATAAGGCTCATGAGATCGTCCGATATGGCTGTCTGAAATAATAAAATTATCAAAATTTATTCTTTCTAGAAGATTTACTAAATATAAAAAGTTCCAAAGCTGCATTATTATATTCAATGGATTAACCATCAGAATTACTGATGGGGTTGCAGGATCATCTCGCTCTCCGAAATTCATGCAACAACTGAATTAATTACTAAAAATTATACTTTTAAATAGATTTTGAGCGAAAAAGATGAAATATGAAAAAAAAATAATAATAAAAAAAATTCACCGACCTCCCTCCGAATAAAATTTCTGGCTACCCGTCTAATTAAACTTAATATTCTATGTATGTCTGACTAAACAGTCAAAAACATAGTAATAACATTAGTGAACATACATATAAATCATCGGTATAATAGGAACCTATTATGTAATATTAAAAATATAGTTGAATTAAAACTAAAAAATATTTAACTCTTAAAACCACAAAAAAAAAATTACTAAAAAAAATCGCAGATATGTATTTTGGGAACGTTGTTACCATTATCAACGCTAAACACATACTAACACCCCGAACAAAAAAAACCCCTTATATAGCTCTAGTGATATAATTACTTAGTGACGTTATCACCTAGAGACGTTATCATCTAGTGACGTTATCACTAAGTAATTTTATCACATTTTGCCAGTTTACACAAGCATAATAATGAATTTTTCAGTTCGCCAAGATCCCAATTAATTAAATTGTTCTTATTTTTAAACATTTTTATTGTCTCCCTTATATTAAGTTCTTTGTAATTATTTACGTTTTTAATTAGTTTTATGGTTTTTAATGGAGTGATTATATGTCAATAAATAATTTTTGTTTGTCCTACAAACACAAAAAAAATTTAGGATCTGGTTAAAAAATGCTCAAGGAACATTAAAAATAAAGAACATAAAAATCATAAAACAAAGAACTTAATATTACGGGAGGCAATAGAATTGATTAAAAATAAGGGGTTTTTTTTCGATCGGGTTGTCAGTGTGTGTTTAGCATTGATAATGGTAACATTGTTTCCGAAATTTTTTTTTAGTAATTTTTTGTGGCTTTTTGATTTAAATATTATTTGGTTTTAGATGAATAATATTTCTAATATAGTTTTAATTTTAAATAATACTAACGAACGTATTAACGAAAAAAAAAAATAATTTTATTAAACTGAACTATTTAATGTACTTCGTAGATTTGATTATTAAAACGATAGATCTTTTAAGGTCAGAAGTTATCCGGATCCCAGAGAACCGTTAGGGAGGGTTGGAAAAATAATTCACAAAACATAAAACACAAAAACAAGAACCTAAGGTACTGGCCTAAATCATCGTCTCAGGTCCTACTGTCCGGGCCGCGTGGCTGTCTCTGTTTCAGGCGTTCCGCTTCCTCCTTCTTTTTCAAGACGGATTCGGCGAACATCTGGACGAGCTTCCACGCCTCCCGGCTCCTCAACATCAGGTCCACCATAAACCAGACTAGGTGGTTGAACCCTAGTCGGGAAGAGGATGTGCAGAGCGCTGTCAGCGTCTCCCGGGCGATCCGAACAGTAGTCGCACGTCGGCGCGGCTGCTTCGCAATTACGGTGTAAGTATTCGTTAAAGTAGCCGTGGCCGGACATCACTTGAGTGAGACGATATGTCATCTCACCGTGAGTCCGGTCCACCCGATCGAGTCCTATGAGGGACTTGGTCCACTTGCTTCTCGTAGCTTCCTCTGAGAGGTGAGTACGCTACCGGAGCATGCTCTCGGCGGAGTTCATGTCCAGCGGTGCGTTTTTCGGCAGTGACGACAGGATACACTATTCGGTACTCCGAAACTGTCCGGATCGCCGTTTGCCTCTGCACCCTGAGCAGGGCTTTACGGTTTTTGGACGAATACTCAAGTGTATCCGCCTAAACCGGGGACCCGTACAGGAGGACCGAGTGTACGACGCTGACTAATAGTCTGCGCCGCATCTCTCTCGGCCCTCCCAAATTGGGCATGAGTCCCGCCAGGTTATTCATGACTTTCTGGGCCCGAACTTTAGACGCTTATCTACGACCAGGCCCAGATAAGTCATGGAATCCTTGAGCGGGATCTCCACCCCCAGCACAGCGAGCCTTGAAGGAGTGATCTTGTACCTGCCCGTGAACAAGACCGCTTCGGTCTTGTAGGCTTAGTCCAATTTCCCCTGCTGGACCCCGGTGGTGATTACGCTGATCGCGCAGTTCGCACGAGATCCAGCCTCCTCGAACGAGGTGCCTTCCGCCACCATCAGCGTGTCGTCCGCGCAGCAAACGAAGCGCACGTGCGGTGGTAGCAGAAAATTCATTGCACCTTATAAGTTATAATTGATCATCAATATTTTTTTGTTACGTATTTACTTTTGTTTTTTATTTTATTTCATTTGTTGTTAGCGAGCCCTGCGCTTTGGACTCCTCGTTTGGGCCCCACACTAACGCACTTAAAAAGTCCTAAGTTTTCATTAAAGATAACAATTTATATATATATATATATATATTATAAATACTTAATAACAGGGTTTGAATTTTTATATGACAATATAATAATATAAATTAAATGAAATCAAGTACGAAATAATTTTACTGTATAAACTTTGAAGATAAAAGTGAATAGTCTAAATATATATACACAGTGATTCTTTTAATGTTAACCACTCTGATTTCTCTTGAAATAATTACTATTTTAAGTTAATTACTTTGGTATTTTTAAATTTTATATATTTCTCGATCTACAGACTTTTACTAATCCTAAATATTATTATTATTATTATTATGAAAAACATAATTTTACTCTTAAACAAAAACAAACTTTAAAAGTTGAAAAAACTAAATTTTACACTTTCATTATTTTTTACGGTATCTAATAATAAAAAATAATTATAAAAAACATCATGCATTGAAGGGATAATTATTAAGTATTTTGTTTTTTAATTCATCTATTAAGGGTGTCAACTTTATTTAAATGGCAACATACATATTTAATTAGCTTATAAAATAAAACAATTCTATAATTAAGAAAATTACTGATCGATAACAATTTTTGAAATAATACTTTAGAAGTTTTAAATATTTTTAAATATAGAGTAAATATTTACATAATGATAAAAAATTGGTTAATGTAATCATATTGCAGTACTCAGTTATGAGCTTATAACGTATAATACTGTAAAGATAACTTACATTAAAAACAAGGAGATTCATATTAACACATTAATAATTATTCATATATATGTATAATTATACTTTAAAGAAAAATCATTTGATCAAATTACATGCATAATTGTGTTAATATCTAATTATTATTTGAAAATAAACATTCAAATAGGACATACATTTAATTATTTAAGTATTTTTTTATCATTAATATAATTCATGGTTAAAATATTACACTGTTAATAACTTCTGTCATAAAAATTCAGTTTATTTAAAAAAAAAAGATAACGTTGTTTTGACTAGAGCATTTGAAGTTAAGAAGATTGATTACTGTTATATATACACTGTATAAAAAACATATAATTTAAAATGCAAACAAGTCAGCTGTAAACTGACTCGTGAATTTTAAAAATAAAACTTGTTCATAAAAGTTTTTATTGTTTATTCACTTAATGCGATTATTTTAACCTAACGGGGTATTTGTATTTCCCGTAAAAAAAACAATAATCCGACAATGTTTTTGCAAGTTTCACAAATATAATGAAGGCATCGAAACATTTTACCACGGAAGTGTTACTCTTTTATAAGATCACTTAAGAAAAGTCACCGTAAAGTATATTCAGACAAATTTATTGAATAAGGTGATTAAAATATTTATTTTAATTGCCAATGAATTATGATTCTAAACTTGAATTAAAATTAATCAAATTATAAACCTAAATACAATAAGCAATTATATATTTTATCATTACCCTTTGACTATTTCTTCTTATAAGACTAGTCATACTTGTCCTCCATTTTTCTTGTGGAACTCTTATAATATCATTATAATTAACCCTCCACGTCATTGATGCAATTTCTGCTTCCAGTTTATAATGTCTGAAAAAAAATGTAGTATAGAAATTATTATTATAATAAAATATAACAAAAGTTAATTTTTGAATATGTTCTATGTTTTTACCATAGGTGAAAGTAAATATTCCAAGTAAATATTTTATTATTTTGGTTTTATCATGAACAAACATTTTAAAATGTTTATCATGAATTCCTCATAAAAAAATATAGACGTTAATTTTAAAACAACGAATATCACATACTCTATAATTGTAGACACGGGTTTAAAAATAACTAGAACGAGTAAAAAATACACAGCACAATGGGGTTCCGGTAAATTTGGGACAAGTATCGATAATATGTGACGGTTGTTAACATCATTATTATGATAAACGCTTTAATACAAATCTGTTAAATTTCACATTAATTAGTATTTTACATTTACTCATAGTATAACAATAATTGTATGTTTTCTTTCTATATGTATTGTAATACCTTCAAAAAATTTTAATTTGACATCAGTTTGAAAAACAGTAATTTCGGCAAATTTTTAAAGAATAAGCAGAGAGTAATGTAATTTTTTCGCGTGCGTGGGTGATCTTTTTCAAACTCTTACTGTACTTTGGTTTTTCATTCGATTATCATACTAAGAATAGTATGTGTTTAGCGTTGATAATGGTAACATTGTTTCCGAAATACGTATCCGCGACTTTTCATTAATTTTTTTGTGGCTTTTGAGTTTAATATTTTTAATATTTTTTAGTTTTTTTAAATTAATAATATTTTTAATATAGTTTTAATTTTACTTAATTTTACATACTAAGAATATTAAATTATAGTTTATTATTTTCTCTAGATTACTCTAGAGAAGATTAATCAAAAAAAAAAAAAAACTAATAGCAGTTTAAAATATAGGAAAAACATTTTGAGAAAGCTATCTTTTACAATAATTTAGAAATTTAAAAAATTTCTAAAATTGAAGAAATTTTTCACATTTTTGGCGCCACTTTAGGTTTAACTATATTAAATTTTGGTTATTTTACGATTAAACAAACAAAATCGGTCCATTAAAAGCTCAAAATTATCATGGACAGGCATAAAAAAATACAGTAAAACTTTCTCAGTTTCGTTTTGGAGCTAAAAATGGAATTTTTAAATATTTTAATGGGTTATTATTACTTATTCTAAGAGATATTTTATTGAACTTTCATATATTCGTTGATAAAAGCCTTGTAGGTGTAACTAAGGGTACATTTTTGTTTCTCATATGTAGGCTTCTCAATTTAATTTTACACAAGCAATAGCTTTTAAAAGAGGACGTCAAATATAAAATTATTAATAATAATACAACACCCAACATAGTTATTTTTAATAATATAGACAACATAATTACATACGTTTTACTTTAAGAGTCTAGAGTGCATATTAAAACTATGTCTACATGCATAATATATTTAGGTTTTTTACAGAATAGCTGTACAGTACACTCAAATAAAAGAATTTATTTCTAAATAATTTTTTTGAAGTACACAGATTTATTAGAGGTAAAAATGGAAATTTAATTATCTCTTTTGTAAAATTAAAGTATATCAAAGTGAAATTATGTTTTAGCATACATAATATTTGAAAGAAATTAAGGGTTTATTATATGCTAGTATATAATAAGGGGTTTAATAAAAGGATGACAGGTGTTTAATCAGGAGGGCACAGACGATGTTAAATTTTTCTGACTTACAAAATACTAATCCTTCATACTTATTTAATCGTATCACTCGAGTTTTAGAGTGAGGTCTTAAATGGAATTAATTTTTTTTTTAAGAAGAAACAAAAAATGTTATTTATGGTTTGTAAATAAGTATCTAAGTCATTAAATATTAATTAAAAAATAAAATAATGTATAAAAAATAATTTAGTTAAAAGTTTTAGAGCTATATATTTTTAATTTTAATTAGTAAAGAATTTTTAATAACTCTTACAGTTTTTTTTATAATTGCACTGGATAAATAATGAATAAAACATTGAAGACATTATTTATTATTTATAATTATTTAATATATTAGAACAAAATAAAAAAGAAACTAAAATATAATAAAACGAATAACTTTGATAGTCCTCGTTTTATTATTAAAAAAAAAATTTACTCTAGAAAAAATCATGTAGCATTTAATAAACCTACAAAAAAATGTTTTACCTGTATATAAGTGCTGAAGCTATTGCTAGGATAACGACTACTGAACTAAGTACAATGCTTAGAATTGCATAACCAGGCATCGCTACAAAAAACGAATGAAAATTAATAATTTCATTTATAAAAAAATTATTCAATGTCGAAAAAAGGTTGTTTTATACATAGTTTTGATAATATTTTTTACAAATGTGTATACAAAACTAGAAATCTTTCAAATTCCTAAAGTTGATAAACAAATTATTTATTTGTAGTAAAAGTTAGTTATTTTGAACTTAGAACTTCAATAGAAAAAAGTATTAAGAATTTACCTTGGATGTGATCACTTATGAAGAATACGAAATAGACAGTAATGAAATTTTCTTACTTTTGCAGAGAGAATTGTCAAATCCACAAGCTGGAGTATCGGGCGGAGGACTAGTTCTACCACCAGCCCAATGGATGTTCATTCCTGGCACGTATTCCAATTTTTGTTTTACTCCTATGTAATTTGCAACAATCTACCAACAAAATTAAAATCCAGTTTTTAGCAAAGCACCTCTAGCTATAAATAAACTCTAGTTAAATACAAAGTGACTATAATAGAGAAAAAAATTACAAATAATTTTGTTCTTATGATATTTTTTATTTGATCAATGTTTACGTTTTAATATTGTTTAAATATTTGGATTAAGAAGTAAAAATTCACCATTAACTTGGTTTCATAATACCAGAGTTAGAAATAATGAGTTTCAATTTATATGATAGTTATTAATAATTAGTACATATGATAGTTATTAATAAAAATATTCTATGAGAACTATGTTCTTGTATCTCAACCAGAACAGAGATTACCGGGTTTCCAACTACCAAGGAAAGAATGGAGTAAGACACCAAAACCGGTCAATGAGTGACATAACTAATGAATGTCCCATTTATTCATTTAATAATGGACTTCACGGTCTTGACAAATCAACATTTTTAAGATTCTATTTAACTGTTGCAAGTGTCTAGATGTTTTTGTAAACTTGATAATTTTAATACCATACGAATATATGAAAATGTTTCACATTGGTGAATGCACGATAAAAAACTTGTGTTTAATACACGAGTACATTAATATAGTATTACTTGACCACATGATAATGCTCAGTTAAATAAACCAAATAACTTTCTCTTATCAAAAATTATAAATTTTCAATAGTTACTAAGAAAATGAATGTCTTGTCCAAAATAGAACACACTATATATGAAAAAAAATTGAATTTCTTATGCAATACAACGAAATGCATCATTATTTTTATAAAATAAATAAAATATACATATTCATTTATTTTGAAGCAAGTTGCAATAAAGAATTATCGAATTTAAACCATATCACAGGATAATGCAATAATTTTCTAAACACTTAAAATCACAGAATTCTAATCACAGATTAAATTATTAATACTCAATTATTTTTAAGTTACTTGAAGTACATCTAATTTATTGCAATGAATTATTGGTTTTTATAACATGACGTAAATATCTATTCTTTTAAAAAAAGTAAAAAGTTTTTATTTCCCTTAAAATATTTTAGAAAATATGTTTAATAAAAGAAAGCAGTCTTAAATTTTATGTAATCAATTAATTTTTATACAAAAAATGATGTTTCAGGATATAATTATACATGTCTTTCATAAATCCCCCAGTACCTCAAAAGTGCCATAACTAATTCTGCCGGCCGAAGGTCGTCCGGCTAACGGAAGCACTGGTGCGGAGATCTTCGGGTACCCTAGACCATATCCGGATACCACACTACAAGATATACTTGTCACAATAATAAGGTAGACCGCGTTGGCGATAAAAGTACGCCGTAGTTTCTCACTACTCAGTATAGCGGAGACCTTTCCTAAAGGGTTTTGCAGAAACTCGCTACCACTATTCCCTTTCGCCATAGTTTATGATGCACAGTAATGTACCACCTGGAACTACTAGTCATCATGTGATGGGTAATCAAACCGGGAACAGAGGGTTATCCTCTGCCCGTTAAGGATCAGAAAAGAACGTAAGATCTACTGTGTCTATCAAAACTAAATCCGGCATGCCTAACCGATGGCATGGACTTCAAGGATCCTAAGCTTATTCACGACAATACTAATGAGACCTCTAACCTGCTGCTCAATTAGAAAACTTGAAATAGGGATATGGAGACCCTAGAAAACTATGATAGATAAAAAGTTTTCCACCTAATACAGTAAGTATAAGATTTCAGGTACATTAATGGTGAAAAATCCAATGCAAAAAAAAAATTATCTAACTTTTCATTAGTCAAGTCAATAGGACTTCTGTGAATTCAACAATGCATTTGATAACTGACAACGAATCAACACTAACATCCGGACGAATTCATATACTATGTATCCCGTAGGGAACTTGAAAATTGGAGATAGTAAACTAGCATTTTGGTCTATGACAGTAGAGTAATAAAATCTTTTTAATAGCATAGAAGTCTGGTTATTTTGTTGTCGGCCCAGGAGACATAATAAAACACCGGCCTGTTGTGCAGTTGTACAATAACACAACAGTCAAGTCGGATCCGCGACGCAAAACAAACATTACTATTATTTTGATAATAAAATTTAAAACACACAATTTTTTATTTTTTCAATTCTTGTAATTTTAAAAATGTATGGTCTTTTGAAAAATTTCAATAAAATTATTCGTTTCATTTAATTGATGAAACAAAAAATTAAGAATCATATTATACGATAGAAGATTACAATTTTTGTGTTGTTTATAAGCTTATATTTACACTTTTATCAGAACTAATAGTGAATATTTAAGAATACTGTAATATAATTTCACAAATATTAGATATTCAATTATTTGTAGCTCAAATTTAACAATTAATTTTATAAGTAGTGAGTATTTTAATGATAAAACATGGAATTCTACACGAATCACATAAAAAATAATCTTTTAGTTATTTAAATAAAAAGAGTAGATCAATCACTTTACTTGTTTTTTTTATATATTTTCAATACTAAACTTTTTCTTAAGGTACATTAAAAAGATTGTGTAAGAATATATTTTTCAGATAGTTTTTCTGAGCAAACATTCAACGTAGTACATTCCTTTTCAAAGAATTATTACGATTTAAACAAAACTTTGACACACAGTTGTTGCTGAAGTAATATTTGAACAATGATTTCAAAAACTACATAAATATTGTTTCACATAAATTATACCGCTCAGCTAATTTATGATTAAAATATTTTCTAACGAAAAATATATAAATTATACCTATAAAATATTTATATCGATTAAATAATTAAAATTCGATTTATTAAAAACGAATCGAAACTAAACTAATGGTTTAAAAACAGTTAAAAATAAAAGCAATTTAAAGAGTTTATAAATATTATTTGTTTTTACAGAATTAATTGTTTAATAAACGGCATTATATATAGGCAATTTTGGTACATTTGTGACAATGTGCCGCTAAATTGGTATGCTTAATATAAAAGAAATTGTTCTTTTAGAAATCTTTGTATTTTGTTTAATTCTAAACAAAAACAAAGTTAATCTTATTTTTATAACTATTTAAACATTTTATCTTTTTTGAGATCTAAATTAACATTTTTTCTTACAATTAATACATTTAAGATAAATTGATTTATAAATATTTTTTTTAATTAGAAGTATACATTGAAAAAAAAAAATTCTTTTAGCACTTTATCGAAACGTTTTATACCTACTTTTAATGACCATTTCCACACTTAAAAAACGAAAATCCTACTTAATTTTATGTTTGTATTAATAAATTTAATTAATTAACATAAAATTAATATAAATATAAAATTTAAAATCATAATACATTATAAACTTTTATGCAGTCAGCTTTTTACGTATTTCGAACTAACTAAACTATAATGAGTTTAAGTTCATACTAAGTTTTCTCTTGAATATATAGATTTGGCTATTTTAATGCATTACTTACCAAACTGATAAATACTTACACAATTTAATTTTAATTTCATAATTAAAAAAAATTTGATTTGGTTTTTATGAACATCAATAGAATAATTTTTTTAATTCACTGAAGTACGAAATATTTGTAAATAAACATAAAATTGATGCTTAATAAAAACGGCTGGAAAAATTTTAATTTCTTTTTTACAAAAAAAAAATATTTTTATAAGAATAATATTGTTACAAAAAAATTTTTTTTTAAATCCTGGTCTCTACAAGTTTTGTAGAAAAAAAAATTAACTTGTTTTCTAATGAGGTAATAAAAAAAATTTATAAATAATAATCATTTATTTATGATTATTTTAAAAATTGATGATTTTTTTATTTTTCCATAATAAAATATCGTATGCTCTAAAATTCATATCAATACTAAAACAGATATTTGAAAACGATCTTTATGCATAAAAATTTACTATCAAGAATTGTTTAATCTGTTTAAAATTAGCAATAGATTAACACACTGCAGTGTGCAATATATTAAGATATATTAATATATTCAATAAGAAAAAGTACTCTACCAGTAATGTCAAAGATCATTGATGTTGTATTGATGACACTGTTAAATTGAAATGGTGCTCTAATGNAAGATATTGTATTGATGACACTGTTAAATTGAAATGGTGCTCTAATGATGGTATGCTGTTAGTTTGTGTATATTTTTTTATAGTTTAAATTTGTTAGTTATCTGAGATGTATTTTTTTATGTGTAATTGTTATTGTTGAAAATGTTTAGTTTTCATTGGTTTTATAGAGTTTCATCTTGTCATTGAAAATATTAATTACTGATGTTGAGCCAGAAGGCTACTTTTTTATATTATTATCATCGTTTACTGTTTATTATTATAAATTGTTGAATTATTTATTTATTTAGCTTAGGAACACACACATGCACACTTGAGCACTACATAGATCACTGATAAATTTATTTAGTAGGTAAAATTACGTATCAAATTGTAAATTTCCTTCGAATAAACAAGCTTTAAATGTTTTATTTTACAGCTTAAGTATTATGGAAATTTTAAGGAACACTATACTCAGTAAAGTCGATAAGATAATCCAAAATTTCTTCATTGTTCAGTTATTGTATTGTTAAATGTTATTTCATAGTTTATTCAACGCAATACATTTGCTCTCACATCTAATATTTGTCGTTATTTAGAAATTATTTAAAACAATTTTTCAAACACAATTTATAAAAAAACAATTTGTAAAAAAAGGACAAGTGTTAGAAATGTATGTAATACATTTATAATATGTGACCCGCGCCACCTCTGTCAGCCATCGCACCACTATTTCCATTTGGTAGTTTGACTGACTAACACCGTGTGCCATACGCCACGGTCGGTGTTGGTCCATCAAGTGCCGGTAGGCCGACGACGACCCGCCGCTAATGACACGTTGAGTGTTCTTCGTGTCGCGATGTACGCCCAACGGGTCCGGCGGACGTGTCGGACGACCGATTACGACGAACCGATACTACTCCGCACAGTCATCATCAAAGCTGCTA